CTAGAGAATACCGTAAGTGAAACTCGGATTTGTCTTATTGATTCGGGACCGGGGTTAGCTGACTGAACGGAAGCCGGTACTGTATACACGACCGCTGGCATTCATCCCTGTTCCAGTGCTATATTCAGCACAACACATTCCCATGTAGATACAAACGGGCACACGATGCCCTGTGATGCAGACCCCTCTAAACCCATCTCAGAAGATGACGAGCCTGATGTCGAGAGGACGACGTCGATCATCAAGGAACTCCGAGACTTCATTGATCAGGCACGGAGTAGCAGCGCTGGTCCGAGCCCACTCGTCGCCTTTGGCGAGTTCGGGCTCGACTACGACCGCTTGCACTACTGCTCCAAGAAGATCCAACTCCACTCATTCGCCGCACAGCTCGACCTAGCCGTATCCCTGAAACCGCAACTACCCCTATTCCTGCACTCGCGCGCCGCGCACGCCGACTTCGTCAGCCTCTTAAAAGAGAAGTTCGGCCCGCGGCTCGAGAAGCTAGAGCGCGGCGGCGTCGTCCACAGCTTCACGGGCACCGCCGAGGAAATGCGCGAGCTCATGGACCTTGGGTTGTATATCGGCACCAACGGCTGCAGTTTCAAGACCGCCGAGAACTGTGCCGTTGTTCGCGAAATCCACCTCGACCGCCTTATGCTCGAGACCGACGGCCCCTGGTGCGAAGTGCGTCCCAGCCACGAGGGCTGGAAGCACCTCGTCGAGGCACCGAAGCCTGCGGATGGACTCCAACCGGTTGCAAGTACGAGTACGAGTACCGAGGCGAACAGCGCAGAAACAACTGGCACTAGTACGCCGTTAGAACCGGCGGGGCGGCAACCCAAGGGCAAGCAACAGCAACAATCCAAGAAGCAGCCGAAGAAAAAGGAACCGGAAGTACCAGAGCGCTACAAAGTCGTGAAAAAGGAGAAGTGGGTTGAAGGCGCCATGGTAAAGGGTCGCAATGAGCCATGTATGATCGAGCGCGTCGGAAAGATCGTTGCTGGCATCAAAGGTGTTTCGGTGGAAGAGGTATGCGAAGCGGCTTGGCGAAATACGGTTAAAGTGTTTCCTATAGACGAATAGAATAGACTACTAGAAAGCGAATGATAGACATCGGGAAAGTTAGGTTTATGGACACTTTCAAGGTAAAAAGACAAATAATGCCTTTTTCTTCTTGGTATTAGGCCGCTCCCGAAATGCTTCACTGGGTATATGACAACCTATCCGACAAACCTCATTCCTGGAAATCAGGATGCAAACACCCAAGGCTATGCATAACATCTCCTTGTCCGACAACGCCAGCCATGATAAAACAATAGCAGGAAATACTCGTAGAGCAATAACTCATAATCCTGAACCCTTGAAGCCTTTTATCCTACCGTGTCGCACAGCTCCGATCGTCACACCCTCCTCGCCCGTCATCCACCCTGGCATCTTCTCTCCGTCAACAATCCCTGCTTCAACTAACTGCCGTATGCCTGCAAAGACGTGAGACCCATGGAACGAGAGCCTAATTTGAGGCGCCCAGTCGTTTTCTCTCCTTCCACCACCAGTATCATCAACATTCTCCTGATCTTCTACCAATACGCTCAAACTAAGTGTACTCCGGCGTCCCTTCGACGACTGTCGCGATAGTGCAGCTGCCCTATCTGCGTCATTCTCCCTTCGCATTTCAGACTCCTCATCGTCTGAGAAATTAGCAATATCTGCTGGAAACGGGTCCTCGATTAAGACGTCCAACCTCTCTATCCCCTTTCCATCGTCCACATTTGCAGCGCTGCCAAAACGCGCCTGTGCCGCCAAGCGTGCTTGTTTCGCTTGTTTCTCATCCTCCACATCTGCTAGATCACTCGCAGGTCTCCTACGCTTGCGGCTATCGCTATCCGTCTTATCAGCGTCGATAGACGATGCGTCTGATAACGGCGGCGTGGGCAGTAAGGTCTGTAAAGGGCTGTCGGTTTTTAGATCCGAAGTTCCTGTGCCAGCGTAGATGCTCCAGCCGCCACCTGCGGCATTTGTGCGGCCCGCACCCTTCACAGCCAACATGGTAGCGAGATTCTTTGTCGTCAAGTTCGTTCCCTTCAGGGTATACCGTTCGCGTGGTCGCGACAGCGCCTTCGGAATGCCCTCCACAATAAGAGCGCGTAGGCTCTTGGCTTCGCCTGCCGCGCTTGCCGACGAGGAAGCGCCTCCAGTAGCGGATTTAGATATATAGATGTGCGGCGAGGCATCTGGGAAAGCAATGTAGATAGTCCTAGAGGCATCAAAGCTCGTTGTTATGCTTTTATTACCATTGCTGCTAGGACGGCCGCGATGCTGGGTTGAGACCGCTAGGTCCGTGTTATAAGGGGAGTCGATAATAAAAATGCGCAATAACAGGAGCGGCATGTCCTTTGGTCGATCAAAGTTATAATGCGCCTTGACGTCGGGAAGCACCTCGGCTTGCAAATTCTGTAAGAAGGTAGACGGATGAAAACGTGGTACAGCAAGCGATTCCTTGTCTATTCTCTCCGGGCCCTCGGCATCATCCTCGTGTGCCGGGGCCTTAAGTTGTTGAATACGGTAGGCAGTCCACTTGAGACTGCCAGGGTGATCGTATAGGTACTGTAGATCTGCCATTGCTAACTGGTATAGACTAAGACCGTATCGCCAATCGCCTTCGAGAATCCTGTCGACTACTTCGCGTCGGCCGCCTTTCCTGGCCTGCATGGATTCATAGAGTCCTCTTAGCTCCTCCAGCGATTCTGCAGGAGGATAGAAGTCATCTTCGTCTTCATCGTCGGGAGCATCTGGTCGGCGGAGAAGCGGCGGACATAGGTATTGGTTTCTTTCGTCTAACCAGTCTAGCACAAGCGATAGTAGCGACGATCGCGAGAGGCGATTAAGAGTTTTGATCACGGTGTTGTTTGCGGGGTCAACTCGTAAGGATGGGGAGAGACGGGCTGTTGTTGGCAACGATAGTCGTGCCATGGCTGCATCGATTCTTATTATTTTTCCCTTAGTCAAATATGACAATTTCGAACGATATAATCGAAGTAGTATCTATAAGCCAGAAATAGCGTAATGAATGTATATGGATGTTTGATACTCTGAGGTTGAAGTGGGACACGCGACGCGTCGGAGATTTATTTCATCTTATCGCATCTTGCTTGGTATGATGAATGGTTCGGTTTTCCTGTTGTCCTACCCAAACCAATTCGATTGAGATTATTAAAATGCAACCTCTACCTAAGCACGTAGCGATAGCTCGAAGCTGAGCTTGGAGTTTGGAGTTTGAGAACAAATTGTAACCACTATATACAATATATTGTTGTAAAGTTTAGGTACTGTACGTCAAGATCGTTATTAACAAGGGTAGGATATGTAGCGCTAAGTGGCTGCCAGATGCTGCCAGCCGCTAAGTTATGTCATCAAAGACGACACATGTACTTTGTACTCCTCATATCTTACAGATTCAATCCAAACATGAAGCATCCCCATTCTCAAAAGTGTACCTAATGTATCAAACACCGATACAATATCTCACTCGGGAATATAAAACACACGATTGGTTAGAGCCTTTCTCACAGAATATACCGTACATGTGCACCAATCCTTAGGTCTCTTTGGTTGGCCATACAGTGACTCAGGAGATAGAATCCAAGAGACTTACATTTATGAATTTCCCGATTGATTTATAAAAAAAAAGGTCAGATAGATACTGACATATATGCGCCAGGACAGCTGACAGATCCTCCTTCCTGATAAGGGAACCCGCATATGCTCATCCGACATGTTCCCGCATTTCGGGAAGCATCCTTGAGACGTCGCCGCAACTCTGAGAAGCGCCAGTAGAATGGATCTTAGTCGAGCAGCAAGATACCGAGGCTCCGAGCACCCGAATTCAACCTTGACTTGCCCTAACATGTACAAAAGTACATACTACCCCACGCTACCCGATAGCGGATGGATGAACTCTTGGCGAACGAGTGCGGGATGGATGTCCATTTTCTTGGGTCTGTTGGGTAAGGCAAGAAATACCTCTCATACATATGTAAGGTCCTTAAGATATCAGGACCTTTCCCGTCATGTTCCATGCACGTACTTGCATATCTACCAGTCTACCGACTCTACCAATTACATACTGCTAAGATGATTGGTGGCATTAGGGAGGGAACTGTAAGATACTCGACTTTTGGTGCAACAAAGGATTAGCAAAGTTGACGTCAAGAGTTATCGTAGTTAAATGCTGATGTTATTTTTCGTCGCGTGCATATCTAGATCACTTCCGGATCATTCCATCATAGAACTGTCGATCATGACTCCCCACGGGCCACCAGTCCAAGTTGAGGCACGTACTGTGGTATGGCAGACAAGCATATATATAAGCAGACCAACCTACAAGCGATAATTACCTGATAATATCGTGAGATGAAATAGAATTCGCAACGCAAGCAAGGGCTATAGGGCCTTGGCAATCTCGTGTCCCCATAAACCATTTCCCCTCCCATTGGTTTGGTCGATGATTTCTAAGCATGAGAGTAATATTGCTTGGTCAAAGAAAAGAATAGGGGTCCCCTCCACCAAGTATTATAGCTATTATAGTAAATTGGACTATGTAACAGAGTGGAATAAACGGGCATAAAAAAGCTGCAAGGCCAAGTTTTCTATTTAATCACCATGCAGGACGGCTTGGGATAGTCAGGTCCAAGTAGTTCCAGACAGGCAGGACAGGTTGTAGTAGTGGGGGTTCCTGTATTGCCTGTATAAATACACGCGGGTGCGTGGGCGAGGTGGGAAGCGTAGAACTCTCCACAGCATTTAATTGGTCCGACCCAATTTGCTTGACTAATAGGTCATCCACTCAAAGGCCGGACTGTATGCCGCTTCTGGTATACTCGGGTCTACGTCGTAGGATCATGAGAAACCATTGGACCAACCTAACTAACTGTAGATGCAAGTACATACAGTACATGGATACTAAAGTCAACCCTGCGTCTCCAATTTGGAATCAGATAATAATATCTTGCTCCTTCCCAAATCTTCATCATTTTTTAACTTGTCAATAAATTTAGAAAATGTGGTGCTGAATAATTCCAGACTATCAAAGAGTTTACGGTCAACGTCAGACCTTTGTATAACTAGCGGAAGTGTAAGAGTGTACGGAATACGGTATACTACATATACTGACTAATACCGATTAATATCGGTTACGAAGAAAGAGGGGCAAGAGGAGGCTTTTTTTTTTATCTTCCCTAAAACGTCAACCGAGCGTCAGCTGTTATTTAGTTATAGGCGGACCCATCACCCATCGGTCAAAATCGGTGGTGACTAGCTGCAAACTTGGCTTTTGTCCGGCCGTCCTTTGACCCACTACCACAATTTTGAAGTACTTCTTCCGAACGCTACCAACTTTTTACTTTTTACATTTACACAAGATATTCTACCCGCCGTCATCTTCTCCCGGTTCAAAAATTTCTGCTGTTTATTCTAGCAGATTTAAAACAATCTTACCCGCCACATACCACACAGCTTTGATATCCCGTAGCGAAGGGCGGTACAATCGATTCGACCCTACCGAATCCCCGAAAGCTCTCGCGAGCTCGCCAAAGAGAGTCACTTGAAAATATGCCGCCGAGTTACTCCAGCCGGCGCGGCCAGGCCGTGAACGTGTCACAATTATTACAAGACTTGAATAGAGTCCCGGAGCCTACCGCAGCACCGGAGGAAAACTTACGAAATCTCGACGATGAATTGGCCATGTTCACTAATACCAATTTCATCGATTGGGATGCAAACGAGAGCCAGCAGCAGCGACAACAGCAGCAGCAGCAACAGCAGCAACAGGCTTCATCAAGCGTTAGTTTGGACACACAGTCGACAACGTCGCCCACAGAAGAAGGGCCAATGAGTAGTGATTTGGCGGGATTTGACTTCAACCTACCAGGTTAGTAGAAACGTTTTCTAACGTCTTTTGTTGTTTTCTCTTCCCGTTTCCTTACTTCCTCTTATTATCCAATTCAATTTTCTTCAAATTCAATTGATGAAGGATTCCGCCATCAATTCCCCCGCATTCATTATTGCGCTTTGGCGTTACACGATGGCGTGTGCATGTCGAGGGTTACTTTTCGAGGGTCACTTTTCGAGGGTCCTCATCTATAGCTCAGCAGCCTTGCTTGAACTGTTCGTGCCTGGGTTGGTACACTGGCCATCTACCTTCCAATCGCCTATGTGAGCGCGCATGGTTGGTACCGCGCCTTGTTGCAGCGATCACCCAAGTTAATGGGAGAAAGAGTTTGGGGTGTCCACCAAGCGGAGTCCCTCGTCTTATCACAGGCCTGGCACTTATTACATTTTTGGCACTTCTTTTTGACTACCCCACTATGAGTTTTCATGTATTCCATCTCTGATTGGTTCGGGTTGCTCCATGTTGCATTTGGATTGCAGCGATCGCTCGGTTTAGGTGTGTTCTGTGCGTTCTGTGCCAGTGCCTATTATGGTCGCGAAAGACTACCCTGCGATGGCGCAATCGAGCTATGGTGCAATATCCCGTGATCTTTAGGTGATCTGGAGTAGGTTATTGAGATCAATAGGCAACCCAAATCCACCAAGTCCGCTGTCGAGAGTTCACAGCAATGGCTTAAACTTATATCCTCTCCCGACACTAAGTCGTCATCGATGATGTTTAGCACCTCAGAAAGGTTTTGTCACGAATCTGTTTTGCATTTGTCAATTGGGTCACAGTTTTTAACGTCACGTCATGTCTTCAGGCGATTTCAACGGGTTTGACTTTCACCCTTATTCAACGCCAAATGTCTCGGCTTTCTCAGACAACCTGGGAAACCTACAACCTATCCAGCCTTCGCCAACTTTCCCTCCCAATGGATCGCCACAGAATGCCTACGGGGCTTCAATGCCGCAGACGGGAGACAAGCGAAAATCTGCTGATCCTGCCGTTCCACCTCGCCGGCAGTTGTCCTTCGAGGAGCAGTCCCGGTTAGCTGCGGAAGAGGACAAGCGGAGGCGGAATACGGCCGCCAGCGCAAGATTCCGCATTAAGAAGAAAGCTCGCGAGCAAGCTCTCGAGAAGCGCGAGAAGGAGTTAAGTGACAAGGTCGGGACCCTGGAGGGCCGAATTCAAACTCTAGAGACCGAGAACAAATGGTTAAGAGAGCTTGTCATGGAAAAGACGGGCGGGAACGAAACGCTAATATCCACATTATTGGAAAAGCATATTGAGAAGAAGCCAGCTGGCAAAGAGTCGGAGAGTAATGCTAAGACGGAAGCCGAGAAGGCCTCATAGTAAACTCAGCATGATGATACCATTGAAACATTTAATGATGGCGTTACGGGGAAATCATATCGGTTGTGCACCGTTAGGCGGCGGCGGCTTTGGGGATATATCACGTCTGGTTTTGAAGCATGATTCGAGGGTAATCGCCTTACTCTTAACTCCAATACATGAACATACCTAGGTTTTACCTAGCAAATCGCCATTTTCGTGATATCAATCTTGTAGATGGCTTATAAATATCCTTCCGTGGTTTTGACACGGTAGTATGAATATCCTTTTCTCTAAATGAATGAAGGTATATGAGGCTCCCTCAGCTTTGTTAGCGCTTTCACCGGAATCTGCGTTGAAAACCTACCGTCTCCTGCCGGCTTTGTTTTAACGCCCCCGACGGATCCGCCACTCACCCCCGGGTCCCCATTACAATTGCTTACAAATAGACAAGTAAGGTACCACATCACGCATCAATGCTAGTAACTCGCTTCAATGGCCCCTTACTATTAGGGCAAGCAGGGTTTATGTTATGCTTGTCGTCCACAACAATATACACTACCATGGTAGGGGATGATCTAACAAGTTCACAAGATATGCATTTATACTTGACACAATGCTCCTGTGTTTCCTTGAAGGAAGACCCGGGTATTCATCGCCATTTCAATTGAATGAATAACAAATACCTAGGTACCTATGTATGCAATACACAACTACCTGTATATTTACTGTAGTTGATTCAACTTCGATTTTGTGCCCCCATCCTGAAACGCCCTAGATATCCCAAAGGTTATGTTCATACACCTCGAGTATATTAGCTTCCATTCCCGGATTGACCCTCTGAAGACTGTTTTTTGGCTCTGAGCGCATCTAGACGCATCTTATTTCGCTTGCCCAAGATCCGCAGCGTATTATCCCGCTCGATCTCGGCCATTTCGGCCCAGTTGGCAATACGGCTCATCGTGCCGTCCTCGTTAACAACCAGCGGGCCCACTGCAGCAATTGTCAGCGACGCTTATTCATCACTTATACGACTACCTAGCTTCTATTTCTAAGGGAGGAGAAATAAAACGGAGATAGCAATGGCACTTACGGCGATCTAGTTTCACGCCTTCACCGCCTACAGGTATCTGCGTGGCATCGCTGACCTGACCCGGCCCCGGGAGCGGCAGGGGCATTTTCTGAGGGGAAGACTCTTGCTGCTGGTGCTCGCTTTCGTGATGTGCCTGCGTGGTCGTAGCCACTTTGTCTGCGCTGGCGCTAGGGTTTGTGTTTGGCGCTGATGACATGGCTCTTAGTGACGGCGGGTAAGAGCGGTATAGTTGATGTCGGCTATTACTCAGGATTCTGAGGAGTGACTGCTTCTGAGGAATTCTCACCATTTGTTTTTTGTTTTTGTTCTTTTTCTAAGTGGGTATGTTTAAGTACCTAGTTATATTTTATTTTGAATCTCGATGATGAAGACAAACATACATGTATGTGCTAAGAATTCACTTAGTCCTTCGTTCGACGCTGCGCTTAAAGGTGGATGGAAGTTACTAGATACATCTTCCCCGGATGGGGTGTAACACACGGACCACTTGCCATAGAATGCGTTTGTATACATGACTAATAAGTCACAACTTCCAAGACAACGGCAACACCTACTTGAAGTCGAAAGTTAAAATAGTGTACAGGGAGGTATAGTCTTAATAGTGGCTCCCTTCTTAATATACCGTCGACTTTATCGGAGAGCTACATATATTGTCGAGTTTTATATCTTTCCCGTATAATATTCCAAATGATCATTTTGGCCAATATTCACTTGATGATTGTTCACGCTCGCTTAAATTTAACATATTATTAATTATTAAAGGTTCTAATCCTTCTCATCCCATCTATATTCGATCCGAATCCATATATGCCTACGTTCACATCCAAGTACTTAAATAATCAAAATGGGCGGTGTCCAGTCCTCAGCCAAATCCCTATGGTTCGCCACAAAAGCAGTATTCCACTTAAGGGAAATATTTAACGATATCATGAAACGAGTGCACCACCCGAAAGGACCCCCGGCGCCTGGAGCGACGGAGTCTTACTAGCTAGAAGATCCGCCATATCCAGACATTGTCAACATCGTACAAGAGATGCCATCGGATCAGGCCGAAGTCATCATCATTGGCTCTGGTATCGCCGCAGCCGCAGCCGCCTACTCCGTACTGGCTGAAACCAGACGTGTGGACAACCTACGTCGCGTTCTCGTCATTGAGTCCCGAGAGATGTGTGGGGGCGGAACGGGTCGTGGCAATGGTCTTTTGAACTGCGCACCACATGAGATGTTTCACAGGCTACGGAGTACTATAGGTCTTCATCGTGCCGCAGCGCTTGTGAGATTCCAGCTAGCTCATATCAAATTGCTGGGGGAGCTATGCCAAGCGATGGGCCAGGATCATGCAGAGTTCCGCGAGAGGGAGATGGTAGAATTCTACCTCACCGAACGAGATCGCAAAATTGCGTTCGCTAAGGCACATTTATTTGCACAGTGGGTTCCGGAATTCAAGATTGCAACCTTTGGCGAGGATCAGGCGCGGGAGGTAAGTTGTCAGTTGACATATATTAACTCATTTCCTAGAAAATGGAAATACGCATGCAAATATTAATATGGTTATGCAGAGGTTCAATGTGAGCCAGGTAGTGCAAGGAGCCTTATCATACAATTCAGCGGTAATACTCGAGCTTTCTATTTTCTCTTCTTACATTAACCTTGGCCACAGACCTTCTGGCCATTTGGATTCGTTAATTCTGTATGGCATCATCTCCTACGCAGTAATAAACAATTTCTCCACATAATGACACATACGAGCGTTGTTGCCATTGACTCATTTAAAGGAGACCCATGGTATGTATGATATACGTTCCGTAGTATTATTTTCAACCCTCCCCTTCTAAAATAGTCTCAAATCTGCCCTTTGTACGAAGTAAGGTAATGGTGGCTAACTCTCAGTAGTAAGTGTGGAAGCCTTATCATTTCCACTCATTCGAAAAAGAACGGTGAAGATTCCAGGATTCTACCTAGGATTGTAAAGCTGACACAGAATGTTTTCATACATAAGATGGCTATGTGGTCCGAACCACGCGTGGCAACTTCAGATGCAATCACATCGTGCACGCTACAAACGCTTTCGCCCCCGATCTCGTGCCCGGCCTGCGTAGCAAGATGACCGGGATCCTCGGAACCATGACTGCGCTCAGCCCAGGGTAAGTCATGGCGAGAATTCCCCTTCCTCTTTTTGACTCGTCTCGGAAGTCAAAAGCCTACTAACTGACCTCATGGGGTATCATGGACCCTAAGAGATTTTTAGATGATGGATGAATACTAATTTACGCAGACACAGGTTTAGCCTTTTCAACATGGGCCGCAGAAATGCATGGTCTGTTGTGCATGGGAAAACAAGTGACAATGCTATGCAGCGACCAAGCGGTCAGGGGGATATCATTATTAGTGGAGGATTCTCGCGCGCAGCAGGCCACGGTGCAAGCATGATTGGCGTATAGGATGATGCCCTCTTGGACCCCCTAGCCGCTATTCATCTCAATGGAATGCTTTCGTTTATATTCGGGCCCTTTTAGGGCAGGGAAACGATATCGAAGGACGGGAGAACTGTAAAAACATGGTCGGGAGTGATGAGTGCCACGGGGGATCTACTCCCATTTGTTGGCCGGCTGGATCCTTCATTAACAGGCCGCTACCCAGACCTGCGGAGCAACAAGGCCCTGAACGATGGTTATAAACAGCCCAACGAGTGGATTTCGGCCGGTTTCGGCGGTGACGGCCTAATGTGGACGTGGCTTTCTGGTATCGCAGTAGGGGTCATGCTCGCGGGTAGCGAGGACTTGGACGTGGGACGGGAGTTGGGAAGGCCCGGGGGGGTTCTAGCAGGATGGTTTCCGGACGAGTTAAAACCGACAACCAAGAGGCTTAAAGACTCGGATTTCGGCAACATTGCCATTCGCTTCATCTGGTCAATACTAACGGACCGGGAGCCTACAAAACCTAGTGACCGCAGCCCCTACACAGACCGTATCTATGAAGCGAGCGCTAACGATTTACTACTATGACCGAGGGGAGAAGAGTAGTTGCCCCTTCGAAGAAGACAGCGGTAGGTCTCTACGTATAGCGAGTTTTCTTATTTGTATTAAGTTACGTAACGATAGACGCCAGTAAGACGTGGCTACCTTGTTTATAGAACATAGTATAGTATGAATTATTCAAGAGATAGCGAGAGAAATGCTTACTATTAATAACAACTTCTCTTTGTCTGATACGAACTTCCTTCTCTTACACGGGACAATATGGTGTCTTCTGTCACAAGCCCGTTTCCTCTCGGGTAAACACTTATTCTATGATCTAATAATAATATAATCTTAGGTACACATACCTAAGTACCTAAAATACTTCAACCACCGCGAATAACTTCCATGGCACTACTACTAGTTTATGTGAACAAGCTCTCTGACTACTACGGCACCGGAGTATAGTCTTGAGACTCGACCTAACACTTCCGGCGGAACTATTTCGCCATCAGTCTGCACAAATTTAAGCCTTGTCGTACATTTATGTACATCACGACAGCGATATGTCCGCATGACACACGGCGGCATAGCGGCTTCGGGACCAACAAATCCTTGCCTATTCCACCTGAGCGTGCTGTCCATAGAGAGTTTTGCTCGTATGTCCAGATGTTTGATAACAAACGGCCGAAAGACGTCGGCTGCCCACTTCTGAATTTGATCGATGATACTTAATAGACTTACGGCATGAATTGGATACTTCACGTCGCCTGCCCAGATTGTCTCTACGTTCTTTACCGGTTTTAGCTGCAGTTCTGGCTTTAATAGATGCTGGTTGCGACTTACGTGATACTCGCCGTAGCGTCGAGCTACGTATACCCTCCACTCGGAAGCGCAGGATGTGAAGGCAAACATCTGGTATTCACGGCTGGTTCGCCACTGGTACTTGGCAGGATCTCTGGGGTCGCGGACGACACTGTCGAGCAGTCCTAGGTAGCGGTCGCAAGCGTGCGCGATCTGCGCTTCTGCCTCGAAGTCGGAGGAGTAGCTCTTCTTGGCCTCGTAGACGGCGAAGGGGAACACGAAACTCCTCGCGTCGTTGTCCCGGTCGAATGGGACGCGGGTCACCTCGCAGATCCAAGATAGGGGAATCCAGCCCTGTGCGCTCTGGACTTCGGTCTCGAAGCCGCCGTGGGTAGGCTGGAAACCGATAGTTGCGTCTGGCGTTCGTTTGATTTTTTGCCAGTTGCCGTTTTTGTCTTTTTCGAGCGCTGTGTAGTCGACTTTGTCCCTGTTGTCGGTTTAGCTTGATACTCGATACTTGGTACTTGATATTGAACGAGGGTTTCATTACATTCGAAATGCGTCTTCTTCTCGGATTTGGTCGAACACGTCCTCCCACGCGTGGACTTCCCAGCAGAATTCGGATACATTGCGCCTGGTGCAGTTACGCCAGACCCGTTTGTCTAGTCTCTGCACTCGCTCGTTAAACCGGCCAAGCTCTTTTGGATTTAAGCTACGCTCGTACTCGCGAGCGGGGAGAGGGGAGAATATGCAAGACGGTCTGTCGGTATTTGTCTTTTTATAGTGCTTTTTACTTGTAGGAGGCATTTCGTGTAGAAATAATTAGAGAATTTAATCGAGTAAGCTTGGTGGTAACTGAGCACGTAAGGCAACAAGGTCAGTGCCCGTCTTTTGAATGAGCTCTGTGTTTGGAGGTATTGCTGCCTGCTGTCCTATTCAGAGCTGATCTCAAGGGTGGTGTTGGTGCTGGGATGAAACACGGCTGGCCAAATTGTGGCCGGTCAATTCCTACGACGGCTGCCTCCTATCGCATTAACTTGGGTTGCACTGCCTCATTTTTACAGCCTTTTATTCGTGGAATACTATTTTTGAGTATGAATATATTGACTCGTTAACTAGCCTTTCTTTATAGATCTTTGGATACTCTCTGAAGCTTATAATTGTCTATTAATTTAAAGCGACATGAAATACCTTAAATAGTTGATCGGCAATGTATTGCCACATGATGTAGTTCTTCAAGTTGGTATTATTCCTGGAAATCCTAACTGTTTCATCTCATGCAGGTCTTATTCTGCCTCATTTACGGACAACTGGTAGGGTGTTACAGGCGCTAATATTATATATATGATTAGTTCTTTATAACTTAGTGTGCTCCATGATGGTGGTATTTTGGTGTTGTGATTAGGTGCCTACCTTTACCTATATAGAGGCTATTAAATAATAAGACTATACAATAACTTAGTAAATCGCGGAACACATTTTCTAGGAGACAGCACCGTTCGTATATGTCCTTTCAATATCATTTCCTATACATAGGTAGGTAGCTATGTCTAGTTGCGTCTGTTATGTACCTAAGTTCAGTCTGGCGCTTTATATAGATGGCTTGGATGGCTAATAGGCACCTGTGTAATCCTCATACGCTTTTACAGTAGCACCTGCTAAATAGAATATTTGAATAAACAGTAGCATTGATAAATTATAGCTCTCTAATTATCAAAAAGAGCCGAAATATGATACGTGATGTTATGATGTGAGCAAGGAACAGAGCATCGACCGTTTTACGGTACGAGTAACTATATCCTGAACTTAAATGAAATCACTAGTATACGCATATATAACCTTTTTGTTTCAAGCATCTCGATGGCCCTAAGATAGGTTGCTTAGCAAGTAGGCTGTTGAATAAAAGATTACCTAGAGACTTTAAAATACTAGTTTCGATATAAGATATGCTTGTTATCAGAAGTGCTTCAAACTACTACCTTGCCTCGATGCTGATAAATTCCCAGTGCTTGAGGCTGTGCTCTAGGCATAGCCGTTAGGTTCTCATTTTTTGAATTGATAGTTGAGATTGAGGTGAGTTATTTACTACGGCTTAGATGTGAGTTTTGCTTCATTCTTAGGCCAAGTAATTCACGCTTTTCTTGTGAGGGTGGCATTGGGCCCGTCTGATTAATGCTGTCCCATAGCATGCGGAAGATGTGACCGCCTCTGATCATCATAGAGACCAGCTTACAATCTCAACACCATGGGCTACGAAAGTGCCGAGTCTATCAGGCCATGAACACTTGGCGGGGCCTACCGAACCCTGATACAGCATCGTCGCCATTAACATTCGAGCCTTTCGCCCCCAAACTTGTTACACGGCATATATGTAATGCAAAGGCGGGCAGCGGAGTTATTTGCTTACACCTCCTTTTGAGCCTATGCATGAGAGCCTCAATAGAAAGCAAGAGGCCTGATAGAGCTAAAAGCCTAAAGCAGGTTTGTGTTATTGCCGACGTTCCTAATTAATAGAAAGTCTAGATGGGAAGACACCGAACCTAGTTAGTGTCCGTTAGATTAACGTTGCTGTTTGCTAAACCAAGTTCGATACCATGTCGTCTTGTTTTAGTCTCGCATATGACAGTATGAAGCGTTTCAGGACTAGTACTTATCAGATCGTGAGCCAGGTACAGAACGAGTGGGATTACTATACTTCAATTTCTATCTATGCACATGCAATTTCTTTGTGCGGTTATGCATAGATCTGGCCAGACCCTCTGGTTCTGAACGGCAATTCCCGTTATATAAGGGTAAAAGCAAAGCTGGTGATGGTATGCAGAGACACATCGCAGCATGCAGATGTGCGTGTCAATTTTGAACTGCTTCATGTAGACGGGTAGATAGAACTAGCATGAAGGGTCAACTACTCTTGGTCTAGTGCGTTGTAGTATGAGTATCTATTCTAGCGGGACGTCATGCCAAGGATGCTCTCTATGTACAAGCCGACTAGCTAGGTTGGCGACGACATCATCTAACCTATCTTGAATGGATTTACTCAACATTACCCCAAACTCGTCCCTAATTTGTCCTCAATTTCCGCGTCCAGTAGTTCGCCGGAAGTCCAATGTATCTCACGAACTTTTTGGAGCGGTCTAGACCACCATGTGGCTGCAGACGCACAGGATCTAATGCTTCTAACGACCCGAACGACAGGGGCTAGACGCCCCGGATGCAGCTATCGTCAGCTAAGCTAACCTATCTAAAGGTACTTGGAGACTGAGATCTCCCTCGGCTTACTGCACGTTCTAGACTCTCTAGACCCGGCCCAGCGTCATCTCGGCACTGGCTCACATTATGTACTTGATCAGCCATGAACCATTCGCACGGTAACTCGTCTGGGCTTAGCTAAACTACCTACACTTATGTCACACTGACCTGATGCGAACTTCGAAGGGAAAAATTAACCGACTTTTGCTGTGCCGTTTTGTGCGGCTGAGAATAATTGGAGTGTAGTCCGTTCAGCTAAGGTTGAATGTTCGAATACGATAGTCAAGGTAGTTATAGTAGAGAAAAAGAAATGTATAAAGGAAGTGTATGACCATTCCTTACATGTGCGAGGTTGTAGAAAAGAGTTTGTGATACTATAATCTGGTTTCCTGCCGGTTTCATGGATGCTCCGCCACCTATCCCGCCACGCCCATCCGGGTACGAGCTCCGGGGTCCGGTGAACCCTTCTTTGCCTCCCCGGCCGAGTCCGTCTGGACAGCAACAATTCCGACAGGTTCCTGGCGTCCCACCACCGCCACGACGACCGCATACAATACGTCAGCCAATGACATGGGGACCATTATCCAATCTTGACGGCACGGCGACACCACTAATGGGAGCCTTACTGGCTGCCTTCTTCACCAGTCTAGATTCCCGAGGTACAGGTACTATCACACCCGAGACTCTGTCGGCCTTCTTGGACATGCACGGATTTTTTGGGGGGGGGACAACGTCTGTACGTGCCCCTATCCTTCCTCTGCCTAGTACATACCTGTCATAAGCTACAGGCTTGCCATAGTTGATAAAAATTGATAAAAGGAAATTAGGGAAATCAAACCTAGCCCCGAATGTCATGTTCCAACCAGAAGACCTGGCAGACTTCGAGCTGAAGGCTGCATGCGAAGCATGGTCCTTTGAGCACCGCGTTGCTGTGCGCAACCCTGGATGCCCACAGCTTCCATACGGTGGAATGCCAATGCTTACACTGCGGGGTTTCACAAATATCAATGCAGCATTACGCTACTATGACGTCTGGGCAGAGCTTGGTCCCCTGCCCCGCGAGTGTCTACTTCCCGGACCGGACCCTCCGATAGAAGTCCAGCGCCGTATCGAGCAAGCCGGGGCGCGTAGCCGGAGGACGGCGGCCGAGAGAATCGAAGCGAACCGAGTCAAGCACGCGCTGCAGGCGCAGGGCCGTAGGAATGCTGAGGAGTTGGTTGGTGATTATTACTACGTTAGGAGGGACTACTACTGAGCCGAGCCGGGGGCGCTCGTCTGCCTATCGGATAAGCGATGCGACGGTAATGCGTGGGAGACATACATGCGGAGAGACGGGCTGTAGCGGACCGTGTCGCCTCGTCTGGCTAGGGTGGTGTTGCGTAATGCTTGCGTGGGGGGTTACTTGCGATTAGACACTTGACACTTGGTTGATACGATCGTCATAGGGGTCGCGGATTATACGGCATATCAACAAAGGTGGTTAATATTCGGGGGTATCCCGGAAAAGTTAGTGGTGGGCTGATAGGGCGACTATCAACTATCTATACGATATGAACAGTTGAAGCCGTGTCTTTTCAACTGTGCTCATGAATGTCTGTGGCGAGGAGCCTAGTCCTGGTCCTATTTATGGTGCCCTACATCGGCGAACTATAGAGCAAAGCAAGCACCCAGACGTAGAATGCCGTTTGCCGCACCGTATTTTGCCGGAGGATCCGTGCTGGTGTATATCCAGGTTAAGCTTTTAGGTGTTTCGAGTGTCTCAAACGGTCGAAACACCTTCTCAAGCCGGGGGGAGATAGGCGGGTTTCGTGGCCTTATCTTGCGTCTGCTGGCTCCCGACAATATCCTCTCGGTTGTTGAGGAGCCAATAGATGCTATGAGCCACACCACATTTGAGAAGATAACATTCGCCTCACTCGGTGAAGAGGTGTGTAGCAGATCTAAGCGAGGACGCGCTAACCGAGCGCGACGGCAGCAAGTCATAGGAAATTTAAGACAGCCATGGCGAGGATGCTAGGCGAAGTTGGTCCGGCAAGCAGGGACTGCTTAACCTACCGTAGATGGTGTTTGTTGCATGAGCAGCCATATGCTAGCTGCTTGAGGTAGGGGACTATCATCATCTAGTGAGGTTGTGGTTGTTGTTGTGGTTGTGATTGCGATTGCGGCTGGTGGTGGAGAGAGAAATAACTCGGTGCCATCCTAGCCATACCTTAGGTGAGACACCGAATGAGAAGACAAATTGAGAAGGTGGGGATCTTATTTGCTTTTGGAATCTAACATGATATTAGAGAGATAACTCGTGATCGAAGATTCGAGTTATTTCACGATCAAGAAAGAGAACCTGTTCTAAGCTCGATCATCATCAAATCGAACCAGTGATCAGACAGAGATTCTGTTTTGCCTATTATGTTTAAGCAAAACGGATAAATCCCTTAATATTTTACCCCAAACACTATATGGACCAGGTAAAAATCCTGATCTCACATTAGGCTAATCTTTCCACGTCATCCTTTAGGTAGTAACTGCAGCCTGACGAGTCACAGCACATAAACCCCCTCAATCTACTAACCAATCCTATCTCTTATCTCTTCTTTAGTGCGAAGCGGTCCTATCACCGTGAATATCCATATCTCAGTTCGACGATCACTAAGTCATACTCGATCTCAGATAGATTGAGTCATAGAAGCTCAAAGAATGCTTAGAAATACAACTTCCCTATACCTTTTATAGGTAGCGATCATAATCAAGGCTCATCTCTTAAATAATATATAAGTAGAAGAATCCTAATTCTTATTCTACTTACATCACACCAAACCTAACTATCCATCCATCCATCCATCCATCCTATCTAACCATCTCACCTTACGTATCCTTGACCTATCATCATACCAAGAGAGATTATCCTCTTATCCCCTTTTTCACTATGGATCGCCAATTTTCCGAGCGCCAATTTTCCGTATCTACCCATGCTGCTTTGGCCCGAATCAAGGATTTCGGAAACCCTGATTCACTACTTGAACATCGAGTGGCATCCTTTGGAGTAACTCTTATTTATGAAATATTTGAAAAATTTACCAAAGATCATAACTGGGTGTATACTCCTGAGCAAAGGAATTGTATATTAAACCAAATTCCCGACTATACGGTAGAAGCAATATACCCATCATTTTCAGAAATTAATCTAAACCTATAGTTGTTTATAGAGTTTAAGAAAATTATAGGAAAACGTACCTGAACTCTATAAATAATTATGGGTTTAGATCGGTTTTTGAAAGTGATGGATATATTGTTTTTACCGTATAGTCGGGAATTTGGTTTGATATATAATCCCTTTGCTCAGGAGTATACACCCAGTTATAATTTTCGGTAAATTTTTCGAATATTTCATAAATAAGAGACCAATGAAAAGTGTCTTGGCGTGAATTGTGTGGCTCGTATCGCTTGAAAATGGGCGACCAGTTCGACCTGTCAGGATCTAAGATCAAGACTTGGCACATCACATGTTTGCAACTAGCCTAAATCATAGAGAGAGAGCTACTCTGGGCTGCCTGGTGATCACTACGATGTTTTTAAGTGAAAGGAAAAAGGAGGGTCTGGTGGGCTTAATGCGACGTGAGAGCATGTCGTTAAGTTTCAGAAGGTATTCGGGTGCATACATTAGGTAGGTAGGTAGAGGCATCTTAATGATTTGCCTTTCGTCATTAGGTCTGGAGGGGCTGTAAGAAGGTGGCTTGCAGCTGTAAGATGAGATGTGCCGACGTAGGTAGATCGGATTGGCCCCCCTTTTGCATCAGCTAACATTCCGTCATTATTGATCCCAGCTTATCAAATATATGGAACCGAGAAGCCCTGAGGTTTCTAACTACGTACTATGCATAGTTAATAGATAATATAGAAAAGAAAACGGAAGAGACCCTATTGGACGATAAGCTATTTTGACACTAAAAGGAAGAGGCGGCTTCATACGTAACTCTAAACGACGACGAAGACGATATAAGTAGGTGGAAAACAAAAGGATTTATGTACATACACTACAGAGCACACTACATATACTAGACACTAGATACTAGACGGTAGACGGCGAGGGTTGTGGCTGTGGCTAGTTTGAAGGTGTGGCAACGTAGGGCAGAGTAGAGACTAGGGGGAGGGTAAATACCTATAGGCCAATCAACGCAAAGATGTTCTTATTCATATACACATCTTGAAGTAAGAATCATGCTACCTCGATAAATTATAATTTCCATATCGACAGCGCCGTAGATCGATATGGTTAGGAGTTAGCAATGGTACACCTCAGTATGATACCTTTTTTTCGTATTTGTTATGACATAGAACGAACGATTGGTATGTACATAGTATGACAACGGTGACGATTATGGAACTCTGGCCACGCAATGCTCCAATTACTTACTCGGCCGAGAAACACTCGTCTTTTGGCGCCGAGCTGAGCGCAAACTAGGGGCTGTTAAGCTAACAAACTACTATGTATATTAATTTTAACTAACCACTTTTTGACTATTTGATTAGGCGCAGCATGGAGTGAACTCCGACAAGCGAGCATTACCTACTCGAGATCTGAAATGACGATCTCTTCCCTTACCTGGCCGAGAAGGTTAACTGAAGCTACTAGTGTAGTATACCGAGTGCCTCATTCTTGGTCAGGCTCGAATAAGTCGACGCACGGAGCAGGATGTGCCTGATTTTTGGTGGAAAGTCGCAAGATATTGCCTCTGGAACTAAAAGTCTATGCGGCATGTTCCACGAACTTCACTAGATGTGACGAGAAGGTCTGCGCGGCTCATTTCTATGCCCGATTTATCCTGAGTTGAGGCGGAAGGCTGGCTGCGTTAGAGCGGCGCAAGATTATTCTCTGTACCACCACCCTCGTCCTAAGAATTGATAAACGTTGAAGGGCATTTGTACTACGTTCTACCGGTTCTATTGCTATGTACTGCATATTTGCAGCTTAAAACAGAGACTTGGCTGCGGCTGTCAGATCTTCAACGTGCTGCTCTGACGATGATCAGGCTACTAAGACGCAGATCTACAATTCCCAACATAATAATGCAGCTGTTTGATGGATTCCTTCTGCAATGACCCTAGACAGCTAAGCTATCTTTGGACTCGTTATGGTTGGGATACATACAGCAGCAGGTGATAGAAAGTGATATATCATTTTTTTCCCGTCGGCAAGACCCTGGGAGGGGTCGAGCGTCGGGAAACGAGGTGCAATACCATCCATGGCCAACAACCGCATCAGTTGCAAGGACTTAATGCAAGTAATATCAGGATTTAGGCCATCGACAATACTGTATCGTACACCGCCGAGACGGGATACATATTGTAGCAGCTGATATTGTAGAGAGTGATAATAGAGAAATTAATGTTTACACTGTGCCGCACAAGGCTGCTTGCCTACGTGGTATTGCTCGGGAAATAAGCATCTTCCTATTTAAGACTATAAGTAGATTTATAAATACATACATTCGACTATGTTTGAATATAGGACTCATAGGAACTCGACGGGTCGTATTTAGGAAGAACTCGGGTTCGTCCTAGTCGAATAGAAGAGGACTCTTCGAGTTATCCGGGACGAGCGGGACGAGTTGATGCTGTACAGGATCCATTACCCCAGGTTTCTGCAAGGCACTCACCAGTAACCAATCCGTCTACTGGACTGAGCCCCCATGCTGAGGAAATGTTCCTGTTATGGGATACTTCCCTTTCTTAATATATTCCTACATGGCTTACCCGGCGTTGGTTGAATCGTATGCCTCATTTTCGGAGTGCCTGGACACTATTTAGAGGCGCAAAGTCCTCCACGATACAATGTTATATGTCTCTTTCCAGTTCGCTTCTTAAACGCTAGAATGTCCATAGCAATAGTCGCAATTGTCGCTTGCGGCGGAAAATAATGTGCTCGGGAGTTAACACATACCTACTACGTCGTAGCGTCATTATAATCATTAGATCCCTGTACCTTGTCCCGTCTTCATCACCATTATGTATGTATGTTTTGTGGAAAATGCCAATGAAGATCTATCCACCAGTACTGGATATTAGTAATTAGATATCAAAGAAAGAACTCGAAGCTGTGCTCTTTATTAGACTCACCTACCGAGCCATTCTATTACTGCATTGCAATCGCCGATTCTTGAGGTTGAGTAGGTAGCAGTTGTCGATCCAACGTGTATCCATAGATGCGCGCGTAAATCGAAGATTTCGAAGTAGACTCTTCTCGCAGAGGAAGAACAT